CTTGAATGGATCCCAAACGATTTTCAGTTCGATTCGGAAGCCCATTCAGAGCAGTCCAGTTCGGTTCCTGGTTGCCCTGGCGCAGGACGACTCGAACGAACACCGACACTGTTGACAGCAATCGTATGTTTAAAAAGCATAATCCCAGACGAATGATGATGAATGGTCCCCGAACCCCAGAGCGGGTCCCGAGCCCGAGACCCAGCGTTCTCGCCGCTCGACGTCGTTTAACTAAATCCTTGATGAATGATGTTGCCACTCCCTCCTCCAAATCCCGGACCCCTCAGCTGTCCTCGCTGCGTTTTCATATTTGCACGAAACATTCCAAAATGCCAGCGACATTAGCAGAGAGCTAGAGCAGGAGGCCGGGGATTGGAGCGAGTGCAATTTTCATTTACGCTTCATTTTAATGATGTTAAGTGATTGTGCAGAAAATGTCGAGCCAGACCCAAAATTCGGAAAGATGCAGAGAGGAAAATAAGGGTATTTTTGAATAATATGGAACATAAGTTGTAGCCCTTTCTGATTTATGATTAATTAAACAAATTATGGGGAGGCTAAGCCCCGAAAAAGCTTGGCTTCTGACAAAGACTTATGTCTGCCTAGTCGGTGAAATTACCCTAATATATATTTATTACATTTTTAATTTAATATTAACACTATTATTTAATTCAATCTCTAAAATATTCACCACTAAAAATGTGAATTTTTGTGCAAATTATTCATATTATTCTGGAGAAGGTAGACCGCTAATTCTTAGTTTTTACTTTATAAAAGAAAGTATTTATTGGAAAACAAGTACTACATCTTTTTTTTCTCAGTGTTCAACAATTCCTGGCTACTGTTTTGGCTAGAGTTTTTGCATTCAACCAACCAAAGTTTTGCGTAAATAGATTTCTGTGTGCTGGAAATACTCGTGCGGATGCTTCTGTTGCTGATGATGCCGCCGCCTGATGATGCCGATGCTGAGGCTGATGATGAAAGCAGCTTGTAATCCGTTTCAAATCATTTTTCACTTCTGTATTTGCTCCTGCCGCCGCCCTGCCATCCCAGGGTCCTATGTGTTTGCCATGGTTTTAGTTTTCGGGCTGCGCGGCATCGTTTTGATTTGTTTGGTTTGTTGATAAATGATGTCTGCACCGCAGCCTAGACAGGTCTGCCTTGGAACCCCGGGCTCCGTTTGGTAATTGGTAGGCGAAATGGGGATTTGGGTGGGTTTTCTGTTGATGCCCCCGTGGGGTTCCAATCCGCAACAGATCCTGCCAAAGGAGCGGGGGTTCGCTTGGGGACTCTTTTTGTGTTGGTAAACAAAGAGCTGGCACTGGAAATATGACGAGTCTTTACTGTATTTTTGGATATTTAAATATTTAATTTATATTTCAGTTAAGAACAACCCTTGAAGATTCTAAGATTTCATTAAAAGATCTCATAATTTTAATGGTGATTTTTGAACTTTTCCCTGCTCAACCCATTCTTCTTTATCTCTAAAGAAATCCTTTGAGGAACCCAATATAAATTTCAATTTCCTGGCTCACATTGGTTTGGTTGACTTGACACCGTTTTGTGCGAAATTACTTATCGAGTTAATGTGCTTTTGGGTCGTAATGAATTTGCCGAAATTAATTTCAAAGACACAGACCCAGGCGAAGACTGATCGCTGGCCTGCGATTAGACCAGAAGCAGTTATCGTTTTCTGGTAGTCCGGGGTGCTATCAGCTGCCCGGGAGTGTGTCTGAGCAGTGGCCGATAAAAGTAATATCCTGTGAAGGACACGTGACCGACTGAGGTTCACTGGGGTGTGTGTCTAACGCTATATGCAGACGAGTTCGAGCCCCCGACTTGAATCATTATCGGTCTCGTATGGTGGCATATCTAATTGCAGTGTGGTGCAGTGTTAACTGCAACTGGGATTTCTGGGTTTGAGTTGGATAACAGGAAAGAGCAGTCATATCACACTCTCATCCCTGAGAATTTGAATATACTTGCTGTATCCTTGGAAACTCTTTAATGGAAACTGTTAGTGATTGTGATAGCGATAGCTATGGATTTCTTTCAAAATATATTTCCCACTTTTTCTCCTTATCCTCCCTCAACCCCAAGGGGTTGCTGGAAGTGCATTCAGGTGAATTTATGAGCCGTGGCTGAAAGTGCAATGCTCGACGGTCCACTTCATCCCTTTTGGGTAAATGTTTACTGTTTTTTTCACTTGTCACTGAGCCGTGTTTACTCTATTGTCGCTAATTGTCAGATATTTAGGCTTGTTTGTTGTGTATTAGACCTTGTTGTTATGGTGATTAATTTGCTGAATGAATCTGCTAGGGGTTGCACTTGATTATAAGCTGATTTTCAGTTTTTTCTAAGTTGGAAATAAACTTTTATTTGTTTTAAGATAAGAAAATATAAACAAGTATAATGTTTTTAATTATATTCTTCAATTTAATTAGTAAAAATATTAGATATAAATATATTTTCATATTGAATAAACTAAAATAACATGTTTTAGTATATCTAACTCATATTTAACAAACCTTTACACACCTTCCGGCGCTTTGCATTATGAATTTTCCCCAACAAGTTAAATTATCAATCTAAATTCAAAGTTAATTTAAAAAGCCTCAGGCAATTTATAGTTTGCCAAGCTGCAGGACTATTTTTAGGCATATGCCTAGCTGGCTAAATATTATTACAAAAGTTGTGGACCCTCCCCGGCGATTAAACCCATTCAAAACTTTGCCAGTGACTTACATGACAGGTGCATGGCAGCATGGCGCCCCCTTTCAGCCAATCAAATTAACTACTTATAAAGTAATTTCGTCCAAGTTTGAGTGACTCCTTCACACAATGCCAATGCGTCCACGGAGCTCATGAAAAATTCTATTAACAGCCGAACGAATAGGCCAGGCCGGGTGAGGCAGTGGCCAGGCCCCAAGGCAAATGAGTGTGTACGACTAGGTGTATGCATTTTTAAGTCAATCAAGGCGGCGGCCGTGTTTGCTCAGCCACCAAGCTCCAGCTCCAGTTCCAGTTCCAGCTACCGATCCTGTGCCTGCTCCTTCGCCAGCTCCTGCTGTTCCTGTCAAGTTTACATTTGACACACCTGCTTTCATTTGAAACCCACCGTCGCGGCCGCCGCCATCTCCGCCGCGGGGCTGTAATTGCAACATGGGGCATGGAGCGGCAACAATAAGCCAAGGGGAAACTTTCGAGGCCTGAAATGCAGTTGTTGGCAAGGAGGTCCTGATTGGGCCCACGAGCTGTTTGGCCCAGGAAAATCCCAGGGGGGAGGGTGCAGGGGCTCGGCTCGGTTCGGTCTGGTGGATGAGCGTGCGCCTTAAATAAACAATTCACATTTAATTACGTCTAAATTTGGTTGCGCGAACAAACAGCGACGACAGCAGGAATGGCACTGGGTAGAGTGTGGGAAGGATATACGCCCAGCGCACACGTCCTGGACGTCCTCGGCAGAACCGATGGCTGAGTGACTGAATGCCGACAAATTGGCAACACACGCGATGAGCCGACGTCCAGGAATAATAGGCATGAACCGGAGCGGTCCGAGGGAATCGGAATTATGGCTTCTTTAAATTACCCTATGAGGACTTAGGGATGTCTGGGTATCTGAACTGTGATATAAATCTAAGCAAAATTTTTAAATAAAATAGATCAAATTAGGGAAAACTTCAGATAAAATAGTATTTACTTGAAGGTGAAATTGTAGTTACCAGATAATTTAAACATTAGTTTCCATTCGAAATTAAGTTAAGTAAACTATAAATAACATTTTCCAGGGTATGTGAGGCTGCGATCCTTGTTGGTACTTTACCCTCCCCGTTTCTATTCTGCTTCTGAGTGTTTCTCTGGCTGAGTTGGAGGCGAGCCAGTTGCTGATTGCATGCAATTGAACGGGCAAAAGTCGCTGGGTGGTCCTGGGGAATCGACTCGTTCCGATAGTTGGTAATGCACCCTCAAATCGATAGTAATGGCGGTCTGCTTGGGGAGTTCCCCGCCCGATGGTGCTGAGCTGTGCCAAAGCACTAAATAATTGCCCATATGTGCCCAGGAGCAATAACAAGGAGTAGAAAAATCAAGCGTTGAGCCACCCTTTTCAGCAGCTGCACAGTAATATAAAGTTCTTACCTAAAATTAAATATTTCGTAAAATATTTTATATTTACTACAAAACCACATTTAATTTGAACTTTATTTATCTAAGAGACATGGGCAATTCCTTTGACTTTAACCACATCAAATTAATAACAAGATTTTTGCAGTGTAGCCCGAGGGTTGCTCGGGTGGCACACACACACCACCCTCGGTTCGTGCCTTGTTTCATCGATATTTCTTTTTTCAATTTATGCTCATTTATTCTATCAATTTAACGAAACATTCGCACACACTCTCGCACATGCAGATGGAAAATCTTGAGGGACACAAAAAGATTGCAACTCGTGCGTGAAGAAGGGGAAGGGGCAGCCGGCCTGGAGCGGGGGAGGTTGTGTTTGGAGAGCAAATATTTTCTGACAAGTGGAAGTCAGATGTCATATATGGGAAGTAACTGGAAGGGAAGGGAAACGGGAGCAGGAGCAAGGACGAGGGCGAGGGATTGTGGCGCACCCGAGATGCCAAATGCTCGTCTCAATTGCTACTTGACATGCACACACACACACATACCCACGCGCAGTCGTTGAAGTTGTCAAAAAAAAATGTATGTTTATATATATATGGAGGGGAATCTTTGACATTAGAGCAAGAATACAACTGACAATTATTGCCTGACAGCTGACAAGGCCGCGGGGACGGGCGAATACCGGAAGAGTCCCCTGACAGTTCGCCATGAAACGGAGCTTCCAACCTGCTAAATGAGTGAGTGACCCGGATAATCAATCAGTCTCCGCAATATATATTTAAGGTATCTCTTCTTCGATATAATTAAAAGCTCTTAAGCTATAAACTTTTTTTATTTATATTTAAATACAGTCAGCAAAATAATTTGATCGAGCATTCGATTTTAAATGTTTATTTGTATCGCCTTGATATACATTATATTCCTGTGTAATTGTGTAGCCAAGGAAAGCCGCTATTGGTATTTAAGTATAAATATGCGGTAGATTGCTTCCCATTTTTGAATTTATTGCTCCTCCAGCTTTCGCCTTTTAGCCATTGGGGGGGATAATTCGTCCTGAAACACAATGAAAGGATTTTCAAACCGAAAGGTTAACCGTAAGGAAATGACCTACAGCAATCTCATCCAAGGCGTCCCAAATGCGCTTTATGGTCTCTCGCCTCGCTCCCATATTCTGAAATTTATTGCAGCTAGAAAGGAAATAATTCGCTCCGTTAAATCAGGTGTTCCACCAGTCTAGAACTAGAAAAGGTCAACTTACATGGAGGTCACCTGCGAAACATAGTTAAGCATGTTCTCGTGGTTAATAATTGCTTCGATCTTGTCGAGGTTTTGGCGTATGTTGGGAAACAGTTTGTCCGTTAGCTGGCACTTTATGTCACCTAGTAAAGAAAATGGAGGCGGGTCCAACCAAATCAGAACTTTTTTGGAACGACTTTGGCACACACTTACCCGTGCCGGTCTCCCAGAACTTGGAGAAATCAAACTCCTGTACTTCTTGGAGCAGAGCCATCAATTCTTGCACCAACTGCTGCTTTACGTCCAAGGAGTACAAGTTGAACGCCATGATGATGTCTTGTTTCTTTAATTTGCACTGAAGGGATGTAAAGCATACAACAAATTTGTTAGAACACGACAAGCTTCTTTTCTTTCCAATTCATTGTTTTACCAAGTGTACTAATAAGGTTCCTTGATAAAACCGCACTCTTTTAGCTGTCTTTTGGTTCAAACTCGAAAATAAAACAAGGTGATTGATTTTTTGTTTGACTAAAACTTATAGCTTTGAGTGAATTACTATTTGACAAGCAAGAATGTCAATGCCTAATAATGACACAATTATAATTGTAACATATGGGCACATTGTTTTGTGCTCCACGTGCTCCAGTGCTGCCAGTTTAACAGTCAGGCAACTTTTAGCCATTTTTTGGAAATGATATTATACCATGCCGATGCTGATCAAGAATACATATATACATAACTGCGACGGTATAACAAAGCATAAAAGGTGAACAGGTAAATTATTTCTGCCTTTGCATCAGACTCATAATACCCTTCGAGAGGGTATAAAATTCTCATTAGCCTTGAAAAAGGAATAACGGAAAATGAAAAGAAAAAAAAAGAGAGCTTCTTCGCAGGGTAACCACCCCAGGAATGTCAACGCTGAGACGTCTTATTGTATGATTTTTAATAATTTATGTATTTCCGATTTATGTCCACCCATTTTTCGTTACACCACCCACTTCCTGTTCACCTCAGACAGCTCCCCGCGCCGCCCCTGCATTTTCTTTCACCCATCGCACCCCCTTTTAAGACCCTATCTCAGGTCTGATTCTTTTGGGGGCCTCGGGCTCATTTGTATGCGTGCAGCGTTGCGCAGCGCACTTATTGCGACCGGGGGGACACTTGGGTATTAAAAAATGCCAGACTATACGGAGCACACCCACTCCCAAGGCCGACCCAGGTCCCCGTCCACGCTATTGGCACCAGTCAGCGAAGCATTACTACTTCGACCCCTCTCGCAGTCAAAAATTGTATTATGCACAAGTTGTTTTGGTTCCATTCTTCTTGGGGTAAGCCGTGCCATGGCCACCCTTCCCTTTACCATACTTACCACCCCCATTCCCATTTTGTGTTGGAGAACAGCTTTTTATTAAGAAATCATCGTTGATTGTGTGGAAGGAAGTAATGTTGATTTTACATTTTAGAAGTGCGTCGTAGGCCTGGTATTTGGAATTCTCGGCGGGGTTGCTTGCTACTTCCTACTTCCTATGTCTGCTTGTTTTCTCTCGTCTCGTTGCGGTGGCAAGTTTATTATAATAATAGGAGGCACACTTCGAGTACTTTGGGGAATTCCCAGGGGCAGGGGTGGACATTCGAGGCAAGTACAGTCTATTAAATTTATGAGTAATGCATGATGTTCTCTCGATTAAGTGGGGTTTTTGAGAAGCTTTATAGATTCTCCAAGGAATGTAAGTACAAATGTTTAAGCTGCTAATAAAATGGTTTCTATTTAACAGTTGAATACAAGTATAGGGTTATCTTTTTGAATCCTTTTAAAGAAATTTCTCTTAAATTTAAGTGCAATGTTTCTGTTAGAAATCGGCAATGATTTATTGAACTCAATAAAGTAAAACTTGCGGTAAGATGACTAGCTTAGAAAATACATTCCCGATATTATACGCATTTATTTGAGCCCCTTAAAGACCCTTTTCCCCAACACCCTTCAACCATGACCGATTGTTTGAGCATTCTTTAAGAGGTTCAGTCAACTGCCTTGCATATACCAATGACCGATGGATGACTCGCTGGAAATGTCTATAAATCTTGGCCCAGACATTAGTGCAAAAACAGAGGGCACGAGCCTGGACTTGGCTGTGGTTTCTTGCCGAAAACGAAATTAACACAAAATTGTGCGAGGCCAATGGCTGCTGTTTCGGGAGGTCGTGCATAATCGTTAATGAATTATAGTAAGTATAAATGCGCCACCAAACCCCAAACGTGGACCACGACGAGGACGAGGGAACCCTTGCGTGTAGCATGTGTTTATGGCCATATGACTCTGGCCTACTTCTGCTTTGGGCTCTAATGAAATTTTCACGCTGCCTTTGTTTTAATGCATTCCACACACCCAAAGGAGCCCCCAGGACTCGGGAACTTCCGTGTTTGTGCATTAAGTTTGCCGCTTCTCTAATTTCCAACCCTCGACTTTTGGTGTCCATTAGTCACGCGCCTTATCAAGGTGCTGCCATCTTGTGTTACCAATTTCGACCGATGGCCAGGCCAGGCCACACCCCCCGCATTAATTGCTTTTTCATAACAATAATTTTTCTTCTCTTCCTATTTTTTTCTGTCTGTAAAAGCGGTCATAGAATGCAATATTCCCATGTTTCAATATTTCTAGAGGAAAAGTAAGCCAAGAAACTTTAAGATTTAAACTAAAATATGTTTTAGGACTATACAAAAATCATTTTATTTTAACTATTTACAAATTTTTAAGTCTTACTGTATTTCAAAAGGGTTTTTGACCTCTTTTTTTGCATTTTTCTTTTGGAGTTTCTGCAAACATATCTTAAACTCCTTTTCTCCGACAGGAAGTGAGCAGCATTGACTTCCTTGAGGCCCCGCCCCCCCTTATTCCCAGCATCATTCACACTTTGTTTTCTGTCCCCTGCCCCCCGTCCATCGACATGCATAAAACATTTTTGCCTTCGTTTTTCATTCATTTGAATTGAAAAGCTTTTCGCAGCGATTTGTTATGCAAGCTTAGAAAACAAACACAAAACAAACAACAAAATGTTAAAACAAAAAAAGGAGAAAAAGGGTAAAGGAGCAGCACAAAAAAGACAGGGAGATGGAGAAGCCCCAAATGAAACCTGACGCTGAAAATTTGCTGAATGCCTTGCACACGGCCCCCTGTTCGCCCCACCCCCAACCATTTTCCAACCCCCCCTTTCGGTGCCCGTTTGTTTGTTATCAACTTTGTTGCTGTAAAATGTAATTGCATATGCAGCCACGCTTCAAAGCGCTCTCTCTCAAAAAAAAAAAAAAAGACAGAGAAAAAGACGAATGGCAGCGAGGCTGGCAAACAATTTTTTACAACGGAGCTCCCCCAGTTTTCCCCAGTTTCCCAGGCATTTCCCCGACTGTGGTTATTAGTATTTTTATACCCTTGCAGGGTATTATAATTTCAGTCAGAAGTTTGCAACGCAGTGAAGGAGACGTTTCCGACCCTATAAAGTATATATATTCTTGATCAGCATCAACAGCCGAGTCGATCTAGCCATGTCCGTCTGTCCGTCTGTCCGTCCGTCTGTCCGTCTGTCCGTCTGTCCGTCTGTCCGTCTGTCCGTCTGTCCGTCCGTCTGTCCGTTTCTACGCAAACTAGTCCCTCAGTTTTAAAGCTATCTGAATGAAACTTTTCATATAGTCTTCTATATACTCTCACTGCTATATATGTCGGAACGGGCCGGATCGGACGACTATATCATATAGCTGCCATACAAATGTTCAATAAATTTTTAGAAAAATAATTTTAACTTGGCTGTTTTTCAATATTATTCCATCATTTTTGAGATATAGCCTTTTTATATTATTCCAGAATTTTGGTAAAAATTTTATGAAAATCGGACCACTATATCTTATAGCTGCCATAGGAACGATCGGGAAATTAATCAAAAAAATTATAACTTCGTTGTTTTTCAACGTATTTTAATCTACTTTGACACATGAGCTTCTGGTATTATTTCAAAATTTTGGTAAAAATTGTATGACAATCGGACGACTATATCTTATAGCTGCCATAGGAACGATAGGGAAAGTAATAGAAAAAATTATAACTTCGTTGTTTTTCAATGTATTTTCATCTACTCTGAGATATGAGCTTTACTTATTATTATAGAATTTTGGTATACATTTTATGAAAGTCGGACAACTATATCATAAAGCAGCCATAGAAGCGATCAGATGTAGAGAAAATGTAAAGCTGGGAATGTATAACTGTAACTGTCAAACTGCAAACATAATAAGTATAGGTAAAATGGTATGTAACTCAGTTTAGTGTCTGTTTTCGGCATTATAATTTATGACATAAATATGAAAACCAATCTGCAAGGGTATACAAACTTCGGCGTGCCGAAGTTAGCTTTCTTTCTTGTTTGATGGTGTTTTCCGTTTGAACAATTTCTGGTGCGAATTTCCGCTGGCACTTCAAGCAAGACGGTTAAAATCGGGATTAGTAAATCGAGTTCGGTTACTTTCTGGCCTAGAATTAAATGTTTTCAAAATCACAGAAAATGTTATAGATTTTGGGGGATATTTTATAAAAATTATATTTTCTTAAATGCATTTAGTTTACAATTTTAACTCAAGGATAGTTGTAACTATTGTCCCTTTATAAATAATTTTTCCCTCTTGAATATCACCTTAAAGCTATCCAAAAAACTCTCCAAAATTTTGCAACTAAAACCCCTTAATGCTATCAACAAGTTCCCAAAAAAATACCAAAAATATCCCCACTCTAAAAGCCCCCAAAAAGTTGCACAATTTGTTGTCAGTTTTACTTGTTATTGCCGTTCAGCCATTTCAGGGGCTTCTGAGCCAAAACTATTTTTGGAACACATAGATATTCCTTTTTCCAGCTTCTATTTAATCCTTTGAATGTTTTATTGCTTGTGAGAGGGAGCGGAGGAGTCGGGATATCATTGCAAGTTAAATTTTTTTACGGCGCCGGTTGCCGAAAATAAACTATTTACGGGATAGATGCCATGTAATGCCCTCGCGCATTGTTTCAACAATCGCAGAGCAAACCGAAATGGAAATCTCTAAATAATAAATTTGATACAACGGAACAAATTTTCCATGCGTCGTTTAAAAACTTGTTCATTGTCATGTTTCCCCCTTTTTGTTGTCGGAATGGCATGGGGATGGAGTTGGAGGTGGAGGTGGAGGATTTTGGGGATTTGTGAACCGAATACCAAACATGTCTGGGCAGCTACGAAATTCCCAGTGTCCTGCCAGTGAACGGCAAGAATTTCGTAGAGAAAATAGTTTTGCTTCGGGCAAATTTTGTCTGAAAAGTCCTGGGCATCTTTAAAGGATTGAAGGGTCGGCAACAAGTGTCAGGCATCAATTATGACCAATCTCCCAAACAGATCTTATCCACTCGCACATATTCGGAGGCCCCGTAATCCCGCGTCCAACTGTTCGGCACATAAAT